CATCAGGGCCGGGAGCGGAATGCTGAGGAGGGGTGGGTTTGCCTCAAGCCCCCTTCCTGGGAGGTGGGCAAGGCCACAGTTAGAGGCATCTGACGGTCAGGGCAGCCCAGGCGTGGACCAGTGCATTTGGGGTAGGGGACTGCTGGGTCAGCTGTTAACTCTCTATTCTGGGGGAGCCAGCTGGGGGGCTTCTGGGGGAGGGCTCGGGGGGTCAGGAAAGGGAAACCTTTGGGGGGCTTGGGGCAGGGCCTATTTAACGACTGCTACGGACACGTTTCGACATTTTGACAAGCCATGGGAGTGTATGGGAGACCTGCTGACTGCCGGCCTGTGCTGTGGAAGGGGGGACGGGAAAGGCTGCCTGGGGGCAGCTTTCTCGCCATTTCCACCACCAGAAAAATTCCTTTCACTCGGAGTGGGTGGCAGGTCACTGTTTCCACTTGGCCCAGCCTCCCAAGGCCCGTGGCCACTACAAGGGAGGCTTCCTCCTCCCCCCGCTCTTGTCCACACAGCACCGTGGCTCCATGGCCTGGCTGGGGCTGGAGCTTGGGCTGGGCAGCCTCTGCCCTGGGTCCTCTGTGGCCACCTCCCTCAGCCGTCTTCCCTCCCCCGTGGGGGCCTGCTTGGCACCCCCCGCCCTCCTAGCCCCCAGCCCACAGACGAGGACTTTCCCCTATGCTTTGCCTGTCTAGCGGAGGAGACAGTTGGGGTGGAGTTGCAGGGCGGGGGCAGTAAAAGCAGGTGCAGTTGAAGGGCAGCTGGAGGGGGTGGGGGGGATCCCAGATTCTTGGTGCAGGGCCCCTTCTCTGCCTGCTGTCCAACTTCCCTGTGCAGCAATTTCGCTTTCTATTTTAAACAGTTTAGGTTGGTTGCTTCCCTGCCTTCCTGCTGGGTGTTTATACTGAGGAAAATAATTGGTAATATTTGCACAGATGTGCTGGCACTGCGGCTCATCACGGGCACCTTTACCCAGGGGACCCTCCCTGGCCCCAGCCTCTCTCTGCCAGCCCGAGGAGCCAGCCTGAAGCGGGGGGGGGTGGGGTACCAGCAAGCTCCCCCCCCTCCCAGGAGCCTCAGGCAGAGCTGGGAAGCAGGAGGCCGAAAATGCCCCAGGCGCGCCCAGAGGCAGGCCTCAGCAGGACCAGGAAGCTCCCCCCACCTCCGGCCCCTGCTGCAGGGACTGATCAGGAGGAGCCCGGTCTCCCCAGGATGGGCCCCTCTTAGGGGGATATGTAGGAGGGAAGCCCCTGGGGGCTCTGTTTCTGATTTCATTTTCTCCTGCAAAGCCTGCATTTGCTCCTGGGGTAAAGGAGGGGGTACAAAGGTGGGGGAGTGGGACCGGGGTGAACATAGGAAATCATCTGGCTTCTTCTCCCCTGTCTCGAGGCCTGGAAGCAGCATTCTGGAGGGTGGGGCAGCAGGAGGCGGGTATCATGCGGGCTGTGCGGTGGCCTGCCCGCCCAAGCAGAGCCTGGACTGCTGTGTGTGCTGCCCACTGCCCATTCTGGGGCCCAGCCAGGCTGGCCATGGGGTGAGACTGCACAGTGGGCAGGGCCAGGGAACACTCCTCAGCCACTGTGTCTCCTTCACCCCTTACACGTGTGTGTGCCACATGTGTGGGTGCGTCTGTGAGAGTGGGCCTGCAGTGTGGGCTGTACCTGTGTGTGTGTGCATGGCTGCCTGCCTGGGCCTGCAGGGATGTGTGTGCACGTGTGTGGTACATGGGTCCACACACGTGTGCTACATATGTGTACCGTGTACGTGCATGCATGTGCCTTGGTTTGGGTGCCCCCAGAAGTCCACCCAGAGAGAAGGATTCAACTGCAGGTAGAGGACCCCAGATAGCACAGTAGGGGGAGTGAGGGAGAAGGTGGGGGAAGGCAGGCAGCCAGGGAGGGCCATGGTCTCCAGCAAACCGCCTCTGTGGGCAACTGAAGGTCAGTCCCACTGGGGAGTCCTGGCAGCCAGAGGGCTCCCATCCAGAGGGCAGAAAGCCCACCAACTCCCATCTGTCTCTTGTTAACACCTCCTGATAGGACCGTTGGCTCTCCAGCACTTCGGCTTGTCCTTGGCCTCGTGTCGCAGAGTTGCCCGGGAGCAGCCTTCTGGGTGTGGAGCTAAGAGCTGAGGGTCTGGGCTGTGTGGTGGGTGTGGCAGGTGCGGTGACTGGCCCCTCGGGGCCCCTGCAGGAATGATGGGCTTGCTCCCTTCCACAAACAATATCCTAAGAGCAGCCCCTAACACACATCGGGCGCTAATCTCTGTCTCAGGAGCATCCAGCCCACACAGCATGCGTGTGTGCGAGCAAGCAAAGCTCCCTCTTGCCAGGAGGCACGTACAGGTGTGGGGCTGCTTCTCCTACCTCCCCCAGGGCCTCCGTGCACAGTCATCTAGAAGCCGAGCTGGTCCCTCGGCTGGTCCAGTGAGGGTCCTGGGGGCCTAGAAGTAAGAGGGTACTGGAGATTTGGTGCCCAGCCTGGGGCCTGAGGCAGAGAGGGCTTCTTCCCCACACTGCCCTGGAACAGTGCTCAGGAGGGAGGTACGAAGGACTCAAGAATGGGCAGATCACGCTGGGGCGCCTGGGTGGCTCAGTCGTTAAGCGTCTGTCTTCGGCTCAGGTCATGATCCCAGGGTCCTGGGATCGGGCCCTGTGTCGAGCCCCGCGTTGAGCCCTGCGTTGAGCCCCGTGTCGAGCCCCATGTCGAGCCCCACGTCGGGCTCCCTGCTCGGCAGGACACCTGCTTCTCCCTCTCCCTCTCCCCCTGTTTGTGTTCCTTCTCTCACTGTGTCCCTCTCTCTTTTAAGATTTTATTTATTTATTTGACAGATAGAGAGAGACAGCGAGAGGGAACACAAGCAGGGGGAGCGGGAGAGGGAGAAGCAGGCCTCCCGCTGAGCAGGGAGCCCGACGCGGGGCTCGATCCCACGACCCTGGGATCATGAACTGAGCCGAAGGCAGACACTTAATGACTGAGCCACCCAGGCGTCCCAAATAAATAAAATCTTAAAAAAAAAAAAAAAGAATGGGCACTAGGGGAGTGGGGCTCCTTGGGGCCCGCCAGGCCCTGCATCCTGTTAGCTGCAGACAGCTCAGTGAAGCCTCACCTTTCCCCCTGACCTGCAAGCTCCCAAGCCTAGAAAGGATTTTTGTTCAGGCATGAGCGTTGTCTTGTCTTGCATGGAATCCGGTGCACACTACCCTCTGCATCCAGGCTACTCTAAGCAGAGAAGTCCTGGGATTGGGGGGGGGGTCCCCTGACCACCTCTCCTCCTATGGCTTTCTTGAGAAGACTGCTGAGGGCCCAGAGCAACAGCCGTGGGGCTGGAGGTCAGTTGCGGAGGTCAGTGGGCGGCGGGCAAAGGTGGAGGCAGACGAGGACACTAAGAGGCCCAGGGGGAACCCAGTGTTACCGAAATGTTTATTACAAGGATAAATATACACAATAATGGGATATTAAAACTGCTGATCCTGGGCCTGTGGGACCTCAGGGGATGCAGGGAGTGGGTCGGGAGGACGGTGGGACAAGGTGGGTCAGTGGGGGATCCACAGCCCTGGACTCTGGATGAGGTCTGGGAATGATCGGGTCCCCAGATCCTGCACAGTGCGGTCCTTTGCTTGAGCTTGGGCAGACCTGCCCTCTCAATGTACTGCCCTCCTGGCTGCCTGGATGCCTCTAAAATTCTGGATGTTCCCTAGTGGCTGGGGTTGTTGAGAGCAGCTCTGGGTAGGGACATCAGTGAAGGAGGCTGACCAGGGGCCCACCACTGACCCCCAGCATTCAGAGGTGGGAAAACATCACTGGTCTTTGAGAAACATGCTGCCCAACCTCCTTCTCTGAGTTGGTAGAGCCACTCTGTAGTTTAGCTCTAGCCCAGATGCCTTGAGGCAAAATCCAAATAGCTCGGGAGACTCCTGCCATGTCCCTGTTCACGAATACTAAGGATTATGGGAAAACGAATCCCCTAGATAAATTTTCCTCGTCCCTCTAGACCTTGCTCAAGGGACACCTCTTCCAGGAAGCCTTCCGAGCACTGCTGGCTGCTCAGCAGCGATGCTCGTCCTGTATCCCTCCCCTCATTTATCCCCACTATGTCCCAGGGTCTCTCCTCACTGCTTTCCCACAGGGCTGGATCCGGGGCCCTATGCTTCGTGGCTGGTGGGCTGATGACACTCTCTCCCTGGGATGGCATTAGCTCAGGGCCACCCAGGGGGAGCCCAGAAAAGGAAGATGGGGGTGGGGACCAGGGGTGGAGTGGGGAGGCCCATGTGGCTTGACAATGTTTCAGGACTCTGTCCTCACATCTGCCTTTTGTTCCTACACAAGGAAGCTCAAAGAACCTGCCTTGGCTGCACTTTACATGCCTGAGATGCTTCTCTATCTAGAATCTACGATGTCTTACAAACCCACAGGAGAGGGCCAGAAAGAGCTAGGGGGCCCCTGTGTCTCTGTGTATTTCCCTCCTGGTTGGCTGGGGTGTTGACCTCATGGGGCCAGAGAGTGGAGTTGGGGATGCTCAGATTGTTCCCAGAGTGGAGATGCCTATTAGAGGAAAGAACTGGGTCAGACCCCCTGCCCCCAGGTGTCCTTTTCTCTTCGAGTAGCCTCCTGCTTTTTCTCGGCAGAAGGGCTGGCAGAGCCGGGGAGCTGGCTGCTGGCGGGGCAGGTGACCCTCTCGGGTGTGGGCAGAAGAGGCTGAGCTCCCAGCCAGCCTCAAGCCAGAGGTAGGTCCTGCCTGGATGGCTTGGTGGGCAGCCCCACCCTCTCCTGCTTCCTGATGTAGCCTGGGCTAGAGGGTGGCTCTGCTTTGGGGCCGGGGGCCAGGGACCAGAAGAAGGGACTGCGGAGCCCTGCAGGCTGCAGCCTGGGAGGCCTCCCCCAAACAAGCTGGGCTGGCAGGTTGTCTTGAGGGGCCCATGCTCTCCTGAAGGTCTGCAACCCCGAGCCCCAGTGCCCCCTCAGGTGCAGCAGGGGCGTTAGGATGCCAGGCCCTGCTGGCTGCTAGCCATGGCCATTCTGGGACATGTAAGCTGCCAGAGCCACCACCACGGCCACATAGAGACCGGCGCCCACGGCGATGGAGAGGGTGGCCAGGAAGAGGGCCCTGCGGGAGGTGGTGCTGGCCAGGCGGAAGTCTCCCTTGGAGATGGCCTTGCTGGTCTAGGGAGAGAGAAGTGCTGGTGAAAGGGACATCCCCGAAGCGGACAGCACAGCCCCAGCCCTCTGGGCTCCAACCCCCTCCTGCACACGCCCCACCCCCCCATCTTTGGTCAAGCCCTCGGGTGGAGGGAGGGGGCTGGAGCGGATGCCCTGCGCCCCTCATGCTCTTACCCCCTGGGAGAAGTAGAAGGCAGCGATGCCCAGGGGCCAGAAGCAGCAGAGCATGGAGAAGATAGTAAGGCCCAGGTGGTCCCTGGGGGGCAGCGCCACGAAGTTGTCTTCACTTTCACTGTCTGTGGAGGTCACATCACTCTGCAAAACACAAGTGGGCTTTTGCGACCAGACCTAGGATCACCGGTGGCAAGGATGTGGGCCCTCAGGTAGTGTCATTTGCTGCAGGTGGGAGTGCAGGTTGGGCTCCGCACTCTCTACCCAAAGCCTTAGCTGTGATCACTGATGCCCTCCTTAGGAATTAGCACAAGCATACAAAGAAAGAGTGCGGGTACCTATGTACAGGTGTGTGCATCATCGGATGGTAATTGTGAAAGAAGAGGAAGAGTCTCATTGCCCAATGACCAGGAGATTGAGTTGTAAGTGATGGGAGAAGGTACAACGGGATACCATGGAACCCTTAAAGACTGCCTTGTAGACAAATGTTAAATGATGTGGAGCCATACTGAAATACGTTGCTTAGAGAGAAAAGTCTGGTGATAAAATGGTGTACAGCAAGACTGATGAATCACGGATCTGTACTTCTGAAACAAATAATGCAATATATGTTAAGAAAAAAAAAGAAGAAGAAGAAGAAGATAGCAGGAGGGGAAGAATGAAGGGGAGTAAGTCGGAGGGGGAGACGAACCATTAGAGACGATGGACTCTGAAAAACAAACTGAAGGTTCTAGAGGGGAGGGGGGTGGGGGGATGGGTTAGCCTGGTGATGGGTATCAAAGAGGGCACATTCTGCGTGGAACACTGGGTGTTATGCACAAACAATGAATCATGGAACACTACATCAAAAACTAATGATGTAATGTATGGTGATTAACATAACAATACAAAATTATTTAAAAGGAAAAAAAATGGTGTACAGCGAGATCTTTGGGGGGGAGTAGGGTGGGAGAAAAACATTGAATGAAAAAAGACTAGAACTTCATCCACTAAAATAATAATATTCTCTTCCAGTGGTTTTCTGTATTTTTAAATTACTTATATAATTAAGAAAACAAGAACAAAAAATGCTTTAAAAAATTAAGTCGTCAACCCAAGTGTGTGTTTCTCCGAGTATGGACGTCCAGCACCTGTGCCAGAAGTACCTTTTCTTTGGTAACATACAGATGCTGGGGCCCCAAGCCAGGCCCACTGAATCTCAAGCCCTGGAGCTTGGCCAGGGACTCTGCATTTTAAACACATGCACTCACCTCCTCCTCCTCCTGGTCATTCTCCCGGCCCTGCAGCTCCTCTTGAACCCCGTAGGACACGGTCTGGATGGTGATATCCTCTTCTACTTGGCCAGGTTCTGTGGACCGCTCCGTGGGCCCAGCCTGGAGCTCCCTGTTCTCTGTGAAGCTGGTCTCACAGGTGCTTGCCCTGGGCTCCTTGATCTTGTCCCTCCCCAGGAGGCAGCTGGGCCTGTACCAGGCCTCCACGGCCAGCTGCAGGGAACCCGGGTCCAGGAGCTGGTGGGTGTGAGCAGAGCCAGCCCCACCCAGGAGGTAGGAGTAGAGCTTCTCCTGGCATGACCAGCTGGGCGAAGCCTCGGGGTAGGGGTAGCGGCCATGCAGCGGGGCGGGGCTCCGAGGCAGCAGAGGGTTCTGCAGTTCACTCAGACTCTCCATGGTTCCGGGGGACAGCTCCAGGGAGGGGAGCCTGGGCCAGCTGAGCCGTCCTCAGAGAGCCTGCTGGGTGAGCAAGACAGACAGACGCTGAGTCCCGGGTGCCGGATGCAGGGCTGGAAGCGTTTAAGAACACGGGCCCTCAGACCCTGCCTTTGCCACCAGGCAGCTGTGGGGCTTCGAGCTGGCTACTTCTCCTCTCAGAGTGTCCTTTTCTTGGTCTACACAGTGGGCAAAGCAGCAGGACTTACCTCTCAGAGTTGGCTCATTCATCTATCCTGTGAACACATAATGGCTGAGCGTCAGCTCCCTGCTGGGCACCATGCAGGGGCTGGGGACACGGAGGCGGGAAAGGCAGGGAGCAGGGAGAGGGAGGGGGATGCACACTGTCTTCACGGAGCTCACAGAGGTGAAGGACAGAGAGGGGTGTAAGAACGAGTGACGGACAAAATGGAAACGAAGGTGCAGGGAAGGCTTGGCGCCGAGAGCCGAAGGAAGAAACCCAGCTGGTACGGCAGGGGGAGGGAGAACACGTTTCAGGCAGAGGCCAGATCAAGGATGCTTGCTCCGAGAGCCTGGGAGAAGGCTGGTGCTTCTCCGGGTAGAGAGGGAGGGGTGAGCTGGGGTGTGGGGCCAGAGCGTGCAGCCCTGTTTAGGTCTAAGAGGGCTTCAGGGGTCTTGGCAGGAGTGATAGGATGCAGTCTGGGTCCAGGAGTCTTCCCGGGGCTGTGTGTGGGGAGTGGCTTGGAGAGGGATGGGCTCACTGTGACACCCGCAGGGGGCTTTGCCACGGCTTCAGGTCAGCTGAGGACAACTGGAACTCAATAGTGGGGGGATGTTGACAGGACTTGGTAGCAGGTGGGATATTGGGCTGAGGGAGGATTTGTTCAAGGGCTGGATGGGACCGCACTTAGCTCAGAGCTCAGCACAGGCCACGGGCTCACAGCTGTCCATTCTTCCCAGGGGAAGATGCTTCTCCCCAGTTATGGTCTTAGGGGGATGCACCTTAGACTAATCTCCCCTCTAAGGCAGATTGTGGTTTTGGGAAATCCTGTGGGGTCTAAGGCAGGGCCTCCTGAGCATTAAAGTCTAGACTTGTACATCCCAGCTAGAAGTGTAGATATGCTCATAGGCTAGTGTGTGGACATCCTGTTGGGCTACCTCTCCCTCCTTCAGCCAGCCCTGAGCACCAGGGGAGGGTGCATAGTAGGTGCTCAGGGCTGGCTGAAGGAGGGAAAGGCAGCCTGTGAGTGTGGCTACCACAAACCTACACATACTCTGGGGTGTGGCAGGTAGAAACGGGATATGGAGAGAAGAGGGGCAGGCCTGGTGGCCCCAGGGACCCTGCGCTCTCCCTCCCAGGCCCATAGTAGTTGAAGGGTGACAGGATCATGTCTTGCCCTGGACTGATAATCTGAAGATGGGAGAGTCGGTCCTGCCCTTGGTACTTTGGGCAAATAATTATGCCCTTCTGGGTTTCCCCAGCTGTAAAGTGCAGATGATAATTCCAGCCCAACCCACAAGGTCGTTCTGAGGATCCGGATGGCCGAGATGTCATTGCAGATTATAAGTAGGAGGGGCTGCTGTGCTTCCTTCTGGGCTCCAGTCTTTACCCACCCAGGGTCATTTCTGGCCTGATGGTAAAGGGAAAAGTGTGGGGAGGGATTTCGGCCCCCAGGGATGGGTTTGTCTAGGCCCCCTCCAGTCCCACTCCCCATCAAGAATCCACAGCCAGAGGCTGGCCGTTTCTCTTTCTGGCCCAAGAGAAGTGGCTGGATTCTAGGAAGCTGGTTTTTTGGGAAAACTGCAGACGGAGCAGAGCCCCAGGAATAACGGAGTGGGACAGAGTGAGGGGCGGGGGAGGGCCCGGCAAGACTGGAGGGGGCATTGAGGGTGAGTCCATGGGGGGGCCAGCAGCCCCTGGGTGGCCTGCTAGGAGGGAGGAGGGAGGCTGCTGCTTGCCTGGGGGCAAAGAAGCAAGAGGAGGCTGCCCATGCCTCAGAGGCTCTGAGCCCTGACAAACGTGGCCTCTGGGGCTGGGGATCCAAGAATGTCGAACAGAATCACGGAGGGACCTAAAGAAGGGCGTGTGGCCCAAGTGTCCAACTCCTCCCCCAGGGAGGGCACAGATGGTGTGGGAGACGCTGGGCTGCGCTGCCCCTGGGGGCTCTGTGGGTGCACAAAGCAGTTACAAGTCCTACCTGGGTTGTCACCCAGCTGGGGCAGAAGTTTCTGCGGAGTCAAGACAGCGGTTCTCAGGAGGAGTGGAGCTCACATGCACAGGGGCTTCACTACTTCTCCCTCCTCCCGCCTCTCTGGGGTCAAACATGCAGGGAGCCATGGGGACTCTTGTGATGTGCCCGCGCTCCTCTGGGCAGATTCCCAGCAGGCCTGGTCTCTTCTGACTCCCGAGGGCAGCTTTTGAGTCCCTGTTCCAGCCTCCCCCACCCCCCCCCAGTGGATGTGACTCACAGATATGCAGTCCAAGGGCCTGTGACCCTAAGGCTCATGGGTTTGGGAGTCAGGTACACTGGGGCTCCATCTCTGACCCACCCCCATTAACTCTCTGATCTGGCACCTCGGTTTCCCTATCAGTAGTAAGAGGGGTGGGATTAAATGGTCACTGATGTCAATGGTGGCACTAGCCCTCCATGATCCCATAGCCTCAGGGGGCCCTGCAGAAGTGAACTCCCCCACTGCCTGCCTCCATCAAGACTCAGGGATTCGTGAGCCCGCTCAGAACCCAGTGAGGTGCCACCTTCCCTATCATGGTCCCTTGAGCACCCTGAGGGAGGCAAAGGGAAGGCAAGGCATCTCCTTGTCCGATGGACAGTGGAGTTACAGCATCATCCCCTGGCTTCCCAACGCCCCCCTGGGCTGCCACAGTCCGTGCCCTGCCCTCCATCTCGCCCACCCTATGGGATTCTAGGACAGGGCTCCCAAAAGTCCCCTAGCCTCTCCTCCAACTGGTCTTAATTAATGCCCTCTCTGCTTACAGCCCCAAGGGTCCCTGTCGCCATCTGTGTGAGCAGAGGTATGTAGGGGCATTTCGGCAGGGTTGGGTAGGAAGGACCAGTCCCAGGCCCCCCAAGCCGACTAATGCATCAATGTCACCCTGCCCTATGCCCTGAAGGAGGGAGAGGGGCCCTTGCCTTGGCCAGTCACCTAATTCCCCAGAAGGAAAGGAAGGATACTTGTGGCCAGGAATCGGGCCCTGGAGCTCTGGAGACTTGTAGGTACATTTGCAGGGCATTTGTCCAGGGCAGGGGAGGGCAGGGGCAGCTGGGTCCCCACTCATCCCCCTGCTCTTGCCAGCCATCCCCTCTTAGTCAAAGTATACCCCACCGGGCTACTGAAGCCCAGCCACACAGCCTTTCCTGGATTACACTCCCCTCCACTGCACTCCGATTGTGCCTTTGGGCAGAGCTTCTCAGCTTCGCGTACAAAGACGTATGATCCCAGGTTTCCCCAACAGGGACAAACCGAAAGCCACCTGAATGCCCAACAATGAAGGACAAGTTAGATAAATTATGGTACAACAACCCGATGGTACAAGGCCTTTGAACGGGTTTACAAAGAGGAATGACATGAGAAAAATGCTCACTGCAGCTTGAGTGAGAGGGAAGAAAAGAAAGTGGTACGCGCATGTAATCTACTAACTCCACCAAAACGTCCACAGTGATTATCTCCAGCGGTGGCTGCACAGGTGCTTTTCATTTTCATTTTTATACCGTGTTTTTTTCCGTTTCCCATATTTATTTTTACATTGAGCATGTACTTCTTTTAAACCAGAAAAAAAATTAAGTGCATAGATTTCTTCTGAGCCAAATTATCTAAAATTGGTTTTAAGCCTTTCCAGGCTTGGGGGTTCTTCTGGGTTTAAAGGCTGAGCACAGCATCAAAGCCCTCCCTGACATAGACAGACAGATAGACACACACACACATGCACACACGCCCTTCCACTTCCATAAGTCAACCAAGTTATGGGCTACAGCCCCTCCTCACAGTCCAGCCAAGGGTCACAGTTCTCGAGCAGGTCATGTTTGCCCCATAACCTGCTAAGGCCACACGAGAGTCCACCAAACTGATCCCAGGGACCCGGCACTGAGTCCTGGCCAGAAGGGGGGGGGGCAGGTCCCCAGGCCCAGGCTTCTCTGCCCTTAGCCTGGCCTGACATTTTCGCCTGTGGCTTAGGGCTGCCTCTCCCTGTTCCCTGGAGTGAAAGACCTGTGTTCAAAGCAGAGTCATTTTCATCTCCACTGCTGCCTGGTCTCACCTGGGCTGTGTGTGCCTGCCGTCCAGGCTCTACTGGGCGCCTGCCTGCTTGCTGGTGAGCATGCTGTGTCTGCGTGCATGTGTCCATGTGCAGACATGTGTGCGTGCTGCTCCGGAGGGAACACAGGAGATGTCTGGGATTCTGAAGCTCAGGAGATTGCTCCAGATCGTGCAGTTGGGGCTAGAGGTCCGGGCCCCACAAGAGAAGAAGGAGAGGCGCCTGGGTGGCTCAGTCATTTAAGCGTCTGCCTTACGGCTCAGGTCATGATCTCAGGGTCCTGGGATCGAGTCCCCGCATCGGGCTCCCTGCTCGGCCAGGAGCCTGCTTCTCCCTCTCCCTCTGCCACTCTGCCTGCTTGTGCGCTCTCTCTCTGTCAAATAAATAAATAAAATCTTAAAAAAAAAAAAAAAAGGAGAGGGAGAGGTGGATCTGGGAGGCCACAGCCCCTGGCTTGTTTCCTTTGGACCTGAGAACCGAGCTAGGCCCTAAGGTTTTCCACTCCCTGATTTAGAGATGGAGAGCACACTGCCACCTCCAGAGCAGGGACCGGAAGCCCTCCAGGAATCCACTGGGGTCCAATTACAGCCTCCCACTGGAGTCTGTTCCAGAGTCCAATCGTGCAGTGTCATATCAGTTTGCTTATCTAGAAAATGTATGGAAGGGTAGAAGGGGTTGATTTTTAACAGCTCAGCTCTGTATGACCCTGGCATTCTCCTGGGAGAAGAAG